TCGTGTAGAAATAAAGTGTGAGGGTCTAAACGCGTTAACCAGTTTACCTACCTTGAAAGTGGAATCCTCTCTGGCAGGTTAATGAACGGAGGAATCTCAAAATAGACACAAAAGCTTGGGTTGGCTTCTAGAAATTACATCCTCTATGGCCCAGCGGGGATATCTGATTACCAACTAAAGGCAGAGTGTTCTGCACCGCAGTTTGCCCTTTTCTACTTAATGGCTATGAAGCACGGTCACTAACTGTAGGGGATATGAGAAGGCTCCAGGTGTTTGACAAACATTACTTTCGTAGCCTAGGCCATGTGTAATGGTGTCATCATGCCTGTAACGTAGTAGTCAGGCTTAGAGTTTAAAGGAACAGACGGAAGTCACTTGATGAGATTGTGAACCTTCTTCAACACACTTGATTGAGACATGTGTCACTCATGCTTAGTCACTATCTTCCCCACCGCACATTATTAACTGAAGTCAATTCAAGTAAAAAAAAGTATATAGAGGTGACTAGACTATAACATGGGATTAGTTCATGAAATCTTCGGGTGGTAGTCCTAGCTGTCAGGAAGAAATTTAGTTTTCCGGTCAGGATTCACGTGATAGCAAGGACCGGTTGCTGGATTGAAAATCAGTTTCACTGGCGCAGATTAATCTATACATTATCTTCATCTAAATCGTCATACTGAACCTCAGTCATTTTTTATACCTCCTTGCACTCTTTGTACGACTGCTTACAGTTTCAAGTTTTTTCTACATTAATTCTTTGATTTTCTTATTGTATTCTTGCCTTATGTACAGATATGAGGTGTGGTAACTCGGATAGCTATGCAGTAATCCATGAGAGGTAGAGTCGGGGATCGTCAGGTCTCGTGGTAAACAGGTTATCGTTCTGCCATTGAAATGGAATCCAGCTGTCTGCATTTTCTTGGTTCCGCCGATTCGCGATATGGTGTGACCGTCGTCTAGTGCTGTGGGTAGTTACATGTCGCCACATCCAGCTTGTTTGACCCCACGGGTCACAGCTGCCCACTAGGACTTCTGGAAATCCATCTTGATGGATGCCGCCGATGAGAAGTAGAAGGCAATTCAGCTGGTGGCCTGTAGGTATTATAAGATTTTAAAGTAATTTTAGTCACTTATTCCAGCTCAGTGTTTTGGTGGTGACATGCTCACTATGAAGGCTGACGGCCTTTTATTCAATCCCTCGTGAGGTTGTTAGTGCGCATTGCTGGAAAGACCTATCAAGATGGAACCGTTTTCCAATTATTTTGAGATTTTAGGTGATTCTATAACTTATATCAGTCCCTGACGAACACTACCTTGAAATCAATCAATCTCGAGAAGTCACGAATGCATTTATCCTATTGACCTAGGTGTGATGAAAACTGAAACTATGTATTAGGTGTTGTAATGTAATGTAGGAAATAATAGGATGAAATTAAATTTTCAGTGGAGTGTGGGCAATACGCACTCTTAGCAAAGTAACTTCGATTTTCATGAGGTGTAAATTGTACCGCACAGCACGAGTAAAGGAGCCATTCGTTTCCGGAAATCCTTCAAATTAAACAAGATACTCTATTATACTGATGACAGTCATGGGCTAATTTTGTTTTTACTATTTCATCTACACATGACGAAACAACAATGTTTCAGCGGTAAAGATGTGTAACAGAATTAAGCACATGTCATTCATAGTGTATTCCAGAAATAAATACCTTTTTTAACTCAGTGAAAGGCGTTGGCACTATTGTTAATGGATATTTCCACACAAGAAACTCTTCTTTATATTATGAAACACTGCGTTATATGGCGTCTCAATCAAGCATACTGAAACTTATAGAAATACTGAAGACATGTTCTTCGAATACTGTCAGTTTTCTGTATTCTAGTCCTTGTACCTAGCTTGAACATAATGACATCAAAAAACACTCAGTGTGTGAATCACTATTTTTCTTTTTATCCTGCTACAGTTAAGCAATATTCTGAAGGCACTATGACTTTATCAGAATATATTTTAATATAATCTTATCCTATTAAGAAAACCAACATAAGAATATTCGGAATGTTAAGCTGTGTAGGCCAAAGTTTCTTCAGCAGAATATTATTATTTTCATTTCCTAGGCCCACTGAGATTATTTCAAATATGTTCTTATAATGATCAAACCGGACTCGGCTATCATTTTCTTCCAGGACATAAGTAACAAATATAGCTTGGATGCATTCAGTCATGGCTTGAGTTTTTAAGTAATGGATCATTGAGACTGTCAAGGGAAATACTTGCATCTGAAGATCCTGGGCTGCACCCTACATAGGTCTGTAGTGCACACTAATATGGAGTCCCAATCTAGGATGTTATCTGTCCCCAAGTCTCCCCAGGAATTTTTTTGTCCCTTATATCACATGAAAACATGATGGAAATTACCTTGAAACCCAACACTTCTCTATAAATCTCCATATTTTCGTCGTGGTTGGTAGTATTTATGTCGTTACTTTTAATGAGAATTAAGAGTGGGAGAGAAAGTAATATCCTTCATAAGTATTTTTGCGAATCCATATCAAGTACTTTCCTCAGCTTTTTCCACCCATAGTCCTTTCTTTTCACACTTTTGTTAGGAACGTTGGAAGTTTATGTCATATAAGGTCAACAGGTTTACCTCACTCATACATAAGATTCTAATTTGTCCAAACTAGTTAGCTGCTCATTTTCGAGTCTACTTCACCAAATAAGTGTCCCAACAGATCAGGTTTCTATGACAGTCAGTAGCTGGATTTTCCTTCTATTTCGGAAAACAGTGGGTTCTGAGTAATCTTGCCTAAGTTGGTTGTTTCCAATACTCCCGTATCCAGATCCATTAGTTTATCTAGATATGGCGCTTCTTATCACTTCATGCATTAGAAATATTCAAGATGAAAACTTAACAAATATACTGTTGTTCCAGCAAGTAGCAGTCTTTATAGGATTTTACCCTATCGATGTTTGTCTGAAATTTGTTTTCATTGGTTAATATATAATGTTAGGAATTACGTGTCAATGGATATTCTATTCATGCTGAAATCAAAGCAAACAATTGGTTAGCATGTTTGGAACCCAATTCAACAGAGATTCTTAAGTTAGTCAAAATTTTGGCAATAGTTTTATTTATTTACTGAGAAATCAATGGATTTATGTGATCGAATTTAAACGTGATTATATGCTGCTCTGTCGACTGTCTTGTGACATTTGCCCTTAGTCTCAATGAGTTATGCAATATTATTTGTATGAGTTCTATTCATATTATTTTAAGTAACATTCAATCTATATAAGCAACAGTTTTACTAGATTGAATGACACGATTTGTGATAAAATAAGATGATATAGAACAATCAGTTTTCCTGATCATTATTCAGTTTCGGGATAATCATTTGTCGAGTATAATCGGTTAATCGATTATATTGTTCAATAATTTATGTTTATGATGACTGAATGTGTTAGCTCTATACCAGGTCACGACAGATAAAAAGGTTGAATGCATTTCTTTTAAATGCATAAATGTGACTTTCTCTTATTAAAATAAATAATTTATTTGCCTTTTGGTCTGACTAATCGGAATTCGGTGAGGGTAATCACTTGAACACTGTCCTCTGTACCGTCACCATCTTACAATCATCTGCCATAACTTCATAAGGTCTTTTCTATAAGATAAAATGCTTTAATATGCCTTTTAATATAACCATTTATTGGATTATTGGATTGTGTATACTCGGAAGCTTTACCCTACTATCGAACTATTGAACTTGGTTTCATCCATGACCGTGCAACCATATCTGAAAGGAGTTGAAAAAGTGATTCATCATTCGTCTCTTTGAAATCAGTTTCACCTGTAGAATTTATGTTATCCAGCAATTGCGTCAATTTATTTTTCCCCCAGGTGAATTTTTCGATACCATTTTATATGTTAGTATGCCAAGTTAGTAAATTCTGGCACATCAGATATAATTTCAATAACATTTCTCTGCTCCTTTGCGTGGATATCAGTTGTAGTTTACTTGAAAACTTAATATCGTGATGCCTTTTTCAGTTACATCGTATAGAAATATTTTCTTGATGACTGGTACTTGTATGATCAGATCCAACTATTCATCAAAAGAATTAATTCTTGTGACCGTGATATATTCGAAAGCAGTTTAGTTAATGCCCTGAATAAAGGCTTCTGCAGGAAGTTATACAAATGTTATTACTGCCAAAGATTGTACCATAAAAATTATCATTGTGTGGCGAAGTTATTTCCTAAGAAATGTTCTTATATGTATACAAACAATAGTTAAATTTGGGTTAGTAACAAACACAAATGAATAATATGAACTTACCTTTGCTGACGTTTTTTATGGCTTTATCAGTATATTTGGCAGTTATGCATGGTTTATTTAAGCATGAAGTTACAATTACGTCTAGCTGTCCAACTAATGATAATAGAATGATCTTATGTTAATCAAAAGCAACTTGTACCATGATTTCCTGTCTGCTGACTAACGGCCAAGTATTTAATATCATTGACATTAAAAATATGATTTCGGTTATTCTTTATCACTTATATTTATTTCTGACATAAAGTTAATTATTTATCTAGAAGTAGTATTCATCATGAACTGACATCAGTTGGGGAACCATTGAAAATCTGGGAGCACTGGACAGCTGTTTCTTCCCAGTATGGGACTCCTCAGCAGTACGCACTCACGACCCGACTAGGGGTCGAACTCAGGACCTTCGGGTTTCACGGCGAACGCGTTAACCATCCAGCCACTGGGTCAGTTTCCAGTGGTTCACAATTTCCAACTTCTGTCAATTCACGATATGGCGCGACTGTCACCCAAGGTCTTCAGTTGGCATCCACTTCACTTCCGACTAGTTGACCCCACAGGTCACAGCTTCTAAATTAAAAATCCCCATTCATCTCAAAAATTATTTATCTATTTACTTGTAAAAGGATTTTATTAACTGTGTTCTTTTTTTTTAGATATAATATATGACAATGAACAAGGAATTATATGGTAGGTCAGCTGTTCATAATGTTTAAAATTTTTTCTTATTTCTTTGATCAGTTTTTTCTCAATCCATTTTATTTTAATCCATATCTATTTAACGAATATGCTGCATACTAACAAAAAACACTTAGATACTTCACATTAGTCTTTTTATGTGTGGGCATTAGCATTATCAAAAAGATCACTCATACATTTTAAGTTAAGAGCGATAGAATCTTATGCAAAGTTGCAAGATAGTTGTAAACTAAGAATTTTCTTGCTCATATTTAATGCACACAGCTTTCCATGTCTATTAATTGTAAATAATGCTAGTTCAACTTGACTAGCATAATTTATCTAGGTTATTCTGGTTATTCTGTAGATTTCAGAATTTCCTTTTTTAGATGGGAAAAACAGCTGAATAGTAGTCTTGCGACTTTACAGGATAGCTATGTTGACTAGGTGTAGTCTATATTTTGGTGAACCATTGGTCAAAACCATATGATTGTGGGTTCTTTAAACAGAGGCTTTTGTGTTTGTGATCATAATCTCTCTTTATAGTACCGGAATCCAGCAGCAGTATGCTGTGGTTTCATTCTCCCTTCAGAAATGTTCAGAATGAATGATATCGTTAGGAGACTCTTGCTTGACGATCGAACTTGTATTGAAAGATAAAAACTGAATGTTCTTTTCAGATTGAAGGATAGCTAATTTGTTCAAAATTGTACTTGGTATTCCTTTTTTAAATAAGTTAATAGAAAAAAAAGATATTTCATTGTAGCTGCAAGTTTCATCGGATGGTAAATCTCAGCGAAATTATTCTTATTCAGCGCTGAATTTAGCAATGCGGTGAATCTGATGCAGTTCTTAACTCTTTGAGTGATTTTTCATATAAAAATACCGCTAATCTTCTTAGCTTCAAGCTCTAAACCAAAATCATGAAATTGTTTATACTAAGAAGACAGACAAAATCAAAATTTAACACACAAGTTCATCGATACAAGTTGTCATATTCCAGAGGAACATGCAAAGAAATATTGGTTAGATAAAGTGATTTCAAAGTAGACAAAAATGTATGGAAGAGGAAATTAGCAAATCAAGGCTAAAGAACGTGTCAAGGATTTGGAAGAGAGCAGAGTGTGAATAAATCTGCGCCACTGTGACTTGTTCACGGCTACGTCACCAAGCCTCAGCAGCCATTCACTAGCATTATCTCGAGAACCTGAGCCAGGTCTGCACCTCCTCACACGCCTAATTCCAAGTGTAGGAGACTTCATGGACTTGTGTCATGTCTTGTTTTGGCCGTCGTGAGCCTTTCTTCAAGCAAATTCAACTTCGGTTAACATTGCATTGTTAAATTAGGTGGTGGTTCGGCATGCACAACACATATGTCCTAGCCACCTCAATTTTTGAAGGGTTGAAACTTCAATGACTGATCCGCTTGTCTTGCTTGGCACAATTAGCACTACCTCGACACTACTCACCCGGTGAGCAATACTGTGAAGCCCTGTAATTTTCCTGTATTTTATACTTCTAACGGCTGAATATTTATAGAAAAAAGATAAATGCAGCATAGCATGCTCGTCTTTTAGTAGTTACTCAAATATCTTGCCATTCGGCACCAGAGATGAAGCAAGTTGGTAAATACTAGACAGACACTTTTATCCGAGCTGAGATTTCTTCAGTGTCCTCAGTGAGTCGGACTAACTCAACTTCTCAGCAAGTAAAGTGCTTACCAGATTCTACAACTTAGCTCAGGATACTTGAACTATTTGCAGACCAGTCCTGAAGCATCACCTTACATTTGAAGGGTGAAAATGCAAGTTAAACTATACCCAATTTTCTACCTGAAGGACTTGGAAATTTGGTATTTCATAAACTTCTTTACGTAAAAGGAAAATGTCATCTACGTACGATGATTCAACTAGATGCCTTCCAAAGAGTACGTCGATCCAAATAAAGTCGAAGAAACTTAATGCCACGTTCACTCAACAGGAGTGGGGATAGCGGACATGCTTGATGGATAACTCTGCTTGTCGACATTTCGGATAACAACCCTTCATAAGGGTTGATTTTAAGTAGAGGACTTTGATCAGTAGAAGTTACTTGTTTGGAATTCACTTCACAACCCCACAACACATCTCAATCTACAGAGTTGAATGCCTCCTTCAGGTTAAGGTGTATGGGAAGTATTGGTCTCCGGTAAATATTCGTATATTCCATAATCTGGTGAAGAGTTATGGTCTGATCAACACATCTTTCTTCAGGGTTCAAGTCTATCTAGTTTTCTCAAGTGTTTTGTTCTCGAGCTCCTGTTCGATATCGAATAACAATTGGGCCTGGTATCTTGGACACGATGTCAGTGGAACTGATTTCCTTATGGTTGTCACAAGTAGACCTTCTTCTGTTCTTTTAGACTGAAGTAATTAACGGCTTGGCTTGGTCTGATGAAACTACCTCTGATTTCATTTCACTGTCTAGTACCTGGGTTACCATGCTCAGTAATTTCCTATCTGATTCCTCAAAAACGAATGGTGTCAAACCTTCATTTTCTGAAGTTTTGGATTGTTCCAAGTTTGAAATAGCTTTCTCAACTTCGAATGCATTCGCACGACCGACATCATCATCCCATTCAGGTTCGGGCTGGATGTTGTAAACCTGAAACTTTGTCATGGGTGAGTTAAACTTTGCTTCAAAGTGTTCAGCGCAACCTGGTAACTGTCTGTCATCTGAAGTTACCAGAGACCGAACCTTTTCGGTAATGGTTTCTCTACCCATCTCCTTCTTGCTAATATCATTTATGAGCCTGAATAATATTCTAGTACTGCCTAATGCTGATAACTTCTGCATCAACTTTACGTTTTCCCCTTACGTTTGCTCACAGTCATCGTGAAAACTCTTTGTCTGATTACGTTTGAATTATTTTTGCTCTTCCTCGTAGTCAGAGTCGACTAAAATAAGTCTTCTCATATCAGTCAGTTTGAATGAAGCTGTTGAAGTCCATTAACCTTTGCTAAACGTTTGATGCAGGTTACTAACTATCTTTACCACTGTTTCTATAACGGATTGAATAGCGCACCAGTTTTCCTCAAGATGGGGATTGCTGTCACATTCAGGTAAATACTTAACTGTCTCCTCGATAAATATGTACTTGATGTACTAATCTCTTAATCAACCACACACAAACTTAACTGCGAGTTGCGTTCTGCAACCGGTCAGGCGCGGACAGACACGTACCTGTGCTAACACGTGGTTGGACTCCAGACAAGTACTTTGGGAGCGGAAATCTTCTGTTGATCTTTTCCAGTGATGGTTAATAGCATTGTGATTTATTTGCTTCCATTGTTATTTTGATATCGGGAGACGCCAAGTGACACTTTACCACCGCGTCTGGTCTTCATACAGATAAAACAAAATGCTTTTATACATAAATAAAAGATGAGCCTTTTTGGACTGCATTTTGAAATGTGAATGAACTCCCCGCTTGTTTTTAAGAAGCTAAAGTCAGGTTACTTTGTAAATCTCTACATCAATTATTTCTTTAGCTAACGACATTTAACAGGACAATGTTTCATCTTAGTACCTTCCTGTAAATCTCAAATACGTTAAAACATCTCAGTTAACTTTCGTTCATTTTTCGAATTGTGAGTGATGTCTAGCTGTCTATTGTAGATGGTAAAATATTCTCATATGCTGTATTACTTATACTGCGAGTTGGTCTATAGATATCAATGTTCAGTAAAAATGTGTGAACATTTATTTCATGCTTGTTAGAGTATATTCAGTGTGTATCATGCAGTGAGAAATCCTCTAAAGCGTAATTTTAGTATATTTGATTTCAGTTATTGCAGCAGCTGGACAGTGGTACCATACAAGTACAACTAAATGTTTTCTTTAGGGAATTGTATTGTGGTGCATTAATTTATGTTGATGGAAGTGATAAAGCCTCGTACTTAGTTCATTGTAAAGGGTCGACTGATGACTTGATTATCAGAACGCTCGTACCCTAGACCAATTAGACATTTATATTATATGAAAATATTTGTTTCCAGCAAGGTAGGGGAACCTAATTGGTTAACTCAGTTTTCGTTGGGGTGGCCATTAGAGTCACCTTTTTCCGCTCCCTCCAATCCGTACTTGTGTTTCAAATTTGTCCATGCCAATCAAATTTCGCGCAAGCGGCCTAAACAGTCAACCTAGCAGCGATTTTCACATTGTCGTCACTTCCAATAAGTTCGAAGACCACCCTGGCAACTGTTGAGATAACCAATCAGGTTCGAAGATTCAGGTTAGAAAAATGGCTTCTCATAAAATAAAGAAAAGAAGTTAGCTATCTTAGCAGTTGCTGAACTGTCTCCAAAGTTGCTTCATATTAATAATTTTGGAGTGACCTTAAGGGCCACCCTTACAAAAACTGAAGTAATCAGTCAGGTTTCTTCGTTTGGACTAGAAATGTAGTTTCTTCACAAAATACAGAACACTTATTGGTTGCCCCAGCTTTTACAGTCATTAGTTATTTGAATCTAGTCGTAATATTTAGACCTGGAGGCAGAGGTTCTAAGATGACCATCATACAAATGATCTATTTCTGTTTCCTTATCTGATTCATTAGAAAAACCTATTACCCTGCGATTAGACGTTTAGTGGGTCTTTAATTTCTTACATGTCATCATTTCTTAAAAGACGTATGAATCATTTTTTACAGTTTAATAGGTGAGAATGTTTTAGTTTGAATAGGTGTATTTAATGAAGGACATTAAGTTGCAGTATTATTTACTGGATGACATTTTATACTTGAATTTCTGCTCAGATATATATATGTATAGATAAATAGGCTTACTATTTAGACTTTTGGCCTGTTTGCTAAAATTCATTTAAGGTGGATCTCCTAAAGTGCAACTACTTTCTGGAAACATTAGTAATTAAACCACCTTTTCGTATTTGTTGTGTTTTGAAGTGTAACTCGAATTCTCTTTATCCACTCCCTAACTCATAAGGAAACTGGATATTTTCTACCACTGAGTTTG